CTCGACCGATCGTGGCCGAGGCGTGCGCTTCGGCTGATCGCGGCCGAGGCGTAGCCTCGACCGATCGTGGCTGGGGCAGGCTCCGGCCTATTTTTATTATATTTTTTATTTTTTATTCTTTTTTTTTTTTTTTTGCCGAGACGGACTTCGGCTTTGGCCGAGGCGGGCGCCTCGGCCATCCGAGTCGAGTCACGTCTCGGCCAACCTGTGGCCGGGGCGTGCGACTCGTTCTTTTTTTTTTTTTTTGAAACAACATGGGCGACCACAAGCACGAGATATTATTCCAAAAGATTTCAGAATGCAAAGCGGGCGGACCGCGATTACCAAACACTAGTCCCAAACGACTACTAGAATATTAAGGAAAATACTTAATCAAATGTTCCTAGCTCCATACCCGATCGATTATCCTTACAGATGGTGTGGACTTATGGATCATTTCTGCCAATCTTTTTGCATGCTTTAACGTAACAACTGCGGGCCGCTCGCTGGTCTCCTCTGACGACCCCTATCCCGCTCGGAGTGGGGAACTTCATACACAAGTGTTCCACCGACACTATGGCCTTGAGGTTCTCCAGTGCCGGTCTCCCTAATATGATGTTGTGCGCACAAGGGAGTCTTACCACGATGAATTCCAAGTCAAGTTTGCGAATGTTAGGGCTCGTGCCTATCTCCACTGGTAAGACCACTGACCCCTCCGTCTCCACTTAATCACCCGTAAATCCAGAGAGTGGGGTACGTACTTCTTTGAGCTGGTTCCTAAGTATCCCTAACTTGGTGAAGGCATCGTAATACATCACATTGACTGAGCTTCCCGTGTCGACTAAGATGCGGCGGACAATGACATCGTTGACGTCCATCTCAATTACCAGGGCATCACGATGGGGTAACGGGCCGTCTGGGAGGTCATCACCAGAGAAGGTGATGGCCCCCTGTCTCTGTTTCTTTTCTCTGGGAAGACTCGCCACTTCTCCCATGTATAGCCGCCGGCTCCACTTCTTTCTTTCCGTGGGCGTGTCGCCCCCTGCAGGTCCACCATAGATAAAGTGTATGGTGTGCTTCTTTTGTCGTCTAGGCGCCACCTCGGTTTCTTTCTCGCTATCACTCTGCTCAGATATTTGGTCGTGTTCTCTTTTTTTCAAGGTGGACGGCTCGGTGACATCCTCATTTCTCCAGACATTTTTGGTGGTGGATTTTTTGATGGATCGCGCTGCGGCTGCTGCGGCTGCTTGGATCGCTTGACAAAATGCCGGAAGTAGCCCTGCTGGATGAGTTCTTCTATTTGTCTTTTCAGCACGTTACATTCATCCGTGACGTGCCCAGGTTGCCTATGGAACCTGCAATACTTTGCTTGGTCTCCTTTTGGGGAGACCTTCATGCATTCTGGTGGGAACTCGACTATTCCCATCTCCTCAGCCTGTTTTAGGATGACACTGACGGGATGGGTAAGTGGAGTTAGGTTACGCAAGGGAACCAGGCGAGGCCGTTCATGGTCCCGGCCTTTCCCTACGGCCGGGTGGTTCGAACGTCGCGCTTGGCTGGGCGGACCCGCTTTCCCAGGTTTCCCATTTTTCCTGCCGTTCTCCTCATCTTTCTTCTTCCTGTCGACGTCCTCCGCTTCGGCATAGCGGCTAGCCATCCTCATCAAATCTTCGTAAGAACGGGGGTGGTGGGCATTCAGCTGCTTGTGAAAATACCCCGATCTCAAGGCATGGATGAATATCGGGATCGCCGCCTTGGAGTCAAAGTCGTAGACATTATTGACTTCCTTTTTCCACTTGATCAGGAAGTCTTTGAGGCTCTCGCCTCTATCTTGCTTTACTGCGCAGAGGTGAGAGAAGGGTTTCTTACGCTGTATTCTACCGGAGAAGTATGTCAGGAAGCTTTTGGACAACTCTCCAAAGTTCTGGATCGACCCGTCCGGGATTGTGTTGAACCAATCTTGGGCCGTTCCATCCAGGGTAGACAAGAACGCTCGGCACATGATGGCGTCCCCTGCCCCGATCATTACCATGGCAGCCTTGTACGTAGTCATGTGGACACGTGGGGCGATCTTTCCGCTTCCCTTTCCTCGTGTCGGCGAGGGCCTCTAGCGGAGGACCCCTCGGCACGCGACTCTGGCCTTTGCCGAGCGGGCGCCCCGTGTCCCAACCGTTCTAAGGCAGAGTGGGAAGGCCTAGGTTGCCGTCCGGCCGGTCCGCTTCTTTGGGTGCCCTCTCCCGGACCCCCGGTCCTAGTGCGTCGCCCTGCGACCCTCGCGGCACGAGTTGCGTCCTGGGCATCCACCCTTCGTGGGGATTCTACTTCTATTTCCTGAGGCCGCGGCGGGGGCACTTGGCCTTGTAGTCCCACCGCCACTTGGTTTAGTGCCGCTGCCACCACTTGCTGGATGGTCGCCTGGAGGTTCACGACTTGGTTCGCCCCTCCATTGTGGAGCTGGTCTCGGAGGTCCCCTCCATTATTGAGTTGGTCTCGGAGGTTTCCTCCATTGTTGAGCTGGTCTCGAAGGTCCCCGGGCCTCCCGTTGCTGAGCTGTTCTCGGAGGTCCCCTCCGCGATTGTTGGTGAGTTGGTCCCGGAGGTCACCTGAGGCATTGCCATTGTTCACGTTGCGGGAACCGTGGGAGCTGCGGGACACCATTCTTTCAAGCTTGTTGTTGAAAAAGGAATGAGTTGTGTGTCGTAGCCTGCTTGAGTATTGGACTCAGGCTCTCAATGAAAGCACCAATGACAGTAAATATGTTACCGGAAATATATTGTAAAGTAACGAATAAGAAAGTGACAATAGTTGTATTGCCTTTTGTCTCAGTATAGAAAATACAGTCTCCCCCCTGCTCAGTTGAGGGAAGTTCTATTTATGTTAGGTTCTAACGGTAACAACATGAAGAGACATCCTTGGGGAGTTGAACTAACGGCAAGAATATGAAGAGTCATGAATGAGGCGTTGAGGCTTTAACTATCTCTCATCAATAGTGGCATCAAAGGTGGCTTCAATGACAATAAAGGTGACACCTGTTGGAATTTTAACCGTTGGAATTCTGCCCGTTGGGTTCCCATGTGATGCTGAGTCATATGCTCATTTGTGATCCGGGTCGGGTGCCAGCCCTATTATCCTGTCAGTATCATACACTGCAGCAGCCATGTCTGAAGAAAACTCCCAAAGGTGGCAGAAAGACAGCAAGCAGGATCTCCAGGAAGAGGGCACCACTTGAAGCCATTCTTTTAGTTTTAATTTGTGTTCTCTAATGCCACTTAATTAGATGGTTTGGTGATTATATTGCACAGCACTACAACATTATTGAAGAATCTGGCAGATATATAGATATGCATGTAATCAATTCAAGAATTAGTTTGGTTATCTTATCCAAATTATGTGAGATTCAAGGAGGTTTAATCTGCATGTGGTTGTAACTTGATAGGGATTGGTTTAAGTGTATATATATTGTTGGATATTTGTTGGTAAAATCCGAATAATAATCTTAGGGAAAGATTATTATTTGATGGAAGAAAAGGGTGTAGAAATATGACTCGTATTTGGTGGTAGGTTTTTAGCACGAGTTGAGCGACTATTCTTTCCTTAAAACCTTATTTGCTACCCCCTACAAGTGCTAGGAGCGTTATAACCTAGGTTTTTCAGGATAAAACGTGCTACGATTCAGTGTTTGAGCACCCAAACAAATTAAAGAACCTGGCGAACTAGAGCAAAGTTTAGAACACAGTTGGCTAAGAAAGGAGTAGAAGCAGAGATTTTGAAGGTGAAAATATTATTTTCGTTGTTATGTCTCTCTACTCTTTCTTGTAAAAATTCTGCTGCTACTACTACTTCTTATATAGGAGAAGATGGTGTAAATAACATTCACTATTGGCATTTAAACTCTGTTTGTAACCTTCAAAACTGACTATTGAACATGGGGATTAATTCTGGAATTCAAAATTGGAATTAATCTGAAAATTAATTCCGTAACAGCTGAATTAATCCTCCCACCAGTCATTTGAACTGTACAGACATGAACCGTTCCGGAAACGGTAGACGTGTACCGCAGTGGAACGTACCGGACCACGTATTGCTGTACACCGGGCGGAACGTACCGCGCGCGGCACACTACTTTTACACCGGTAGATGGGCATACCGCTGCTGTTAGAAAAACTATTCAGAATGTTGGCATAACTTAACCCGCAAGCCTGAGTCAAGCCTTTTCAGACTCACTTTGGGATTTGATTTGCACCTCCCTGCGCGCGAGAGAGAGCCTCTATGTTATACAATTCAATAAGCCTTAAAAGAGCTCTTGTATAAATAATGGTGCAAATCCACTTCCCAAATCAATATGGACAAAAGCTTCACTTTTTCCCTTCATTTTCCAAACCTACTTAGATATAGGATCTTGCACCAAAATAAGTTGTTGATGGGTGTAATTTAAAAAGTTTAGGGAGTTAATTGACTTTTCAGCTAAAGTTCGAGGGCCTATTATATAATTTGTTCGTCAATTCTTTTTTTTTTTTTTAATCTTTTGTATGAAAAAAAAATAATAATAAGGAATACATGTCAAATAGGCCTTCCAAGTACACAACAAATTGTAATTGGGCCATAAAACTCAAAATAATTACAATTAGATCGCTGAACAATGTAAAATCATACAATTCAATTTAGAATAGCCTGTTATTATGATAATATGTTAACGTGATGGTTACCTAATTTAAAAATATTTTTTAAAATTGTATTTTAATAAATTTTAATAAAATTATTATTTAATTTTTTTTTTAAAAAAAAAACCATCCCCTGTTTGCTGGCATTGTCAAATCAACATCAACAGAGAAGGGTGAGAACTGAGAAGACAACCTCGCTTTTTCACTGTTTCTTTTTGTTTTTTTTTTTTTTAAATTTTAAATAATTATTTTTTAAATTTTATTAAAATAATTTTTTTGAAAATATTTTTAAATTTGAACTTTATTATTCTTTAAAAAAAAAAACATAATTACGATGAGAAATATCCTTTCCTCAAATTCTGCATAGTCCCTAGTGGAACTGATCCTAAATTTGGTTCGGAGTTGCCCCGCCAACTCGCCGAGTCCCAAGTACAATCCTTTCTCGAACCCTTTTGATTTTTGAAACCCTAATAAAGCAAAAATCTTTTCTGTATAGACTGTAATGTAATTCTCTCTCTCTAAATATACTTCCATATCTTGCGTGTATCTGCCCGCATATACGTATATAAACCTGCAATGAAGTACAACTATGGAGCACACGATCGACCACTTTCGCGGCACGTGACATTTCATCAATCTTCAGCCCTCAGTTACTGCGCCGAGCAACCCATTCCAGGTCTCCTTAATCCCTCTGATTCTTTTGTTTAAGTTTTGGTCTGCACTTGTATGAACTCAGATTCGTGCATAAATGATGAATGTGGTTATGTGAGTTTAGTTTTGTTTTTTCTCCTTTTTTGGGGGTTAATTTGAGTTGTTTTTGTTATTGTTTTTGGAAATTTCTTGGGCTTATTCTGCAACCAAATGTATATCACATAAAAAACTTGATCTTTTTGTTGGGGGATAGGGATTGAGGGTGGGGATGGGTTGAAAGAAATGCAAGAATTGTGATTGCTATGTAGGGTGTTATGTGGTTTTCATTGAATCAAGAACATGCTTTTTCTGTAGGAAAATTTGCATTTTTCACTGTTATGGAATTTCTGACCACGGGAAAGTGATCTTAAATCAAGTCAAAAGCCTTGTTCTGCCCACTTTTGGTATCCGGAAAAAACCTCTGTTGCTATTTCTATTTCCGACCATTTTTTGCTTTCAACTTGATATAAGATCATTTTCAGGTGGTCGGGAATTTCATAATTTTCAGCAGTGTTTGGTTCCTCAATTGTTATATGTTATGCAACATAAGGCCTAGCATTTAATTTTTTGAAATGTGATCTCTCAATTGTTTAGTGTGTTGTCAATTTGTTAGTTTAATCTGAGTTGGGTGATGAGGGAGGGAAAGTATTTGAAAGAGGAATATAGAGAGTATAGTGTGAAAAAGCTTGAATTTTAGTCTCAAACTTCTGGTTTTTATCGAATGAGCTATTTAAATTATGAAAATACAGTCAAAATACTTTGAATTTAGTCAATTTACCCAAAGTTGCATTCACGTTAATAGCGAATTTCCAGTTGGCAAAAGTTTAAATTACTGGAAAATGTGACGACTTCACTTAATGGCACTGACCACCTACTTCAGTCCACGTGTGTCAGCGTTTGAAAGATAACAATTAAATGCCTCCAGTACAAACTTCTAAACCCCGCGTACAACCTCTTATAGCCAGCTTGTAACACGATTTAGTGCATCTGGTAATGGCAATCGACTTAGGATTTAGATGTGTTCTGAAAATCAATGCTTTTGAGAAGAAAATACATTAATGCTGTTACGGGAGGGAAATGTTGGAGGGCGATTGAGAAACTACAAAAAGGACCCCAAGAAACCCTCATCCATCAACTCGCTAAACAATTGAGGGATCGCTTTTCCAAAATGCGCAATTTTCCCTTTTTTGTATGAAACGTTTTTTTTTTTCCTATGTGAAGGGTCAGTTACTGAGTTTCCTTTTTCTTTTTGTTGCTAGTTTCAGCTGGTTATTTGGACCCGGATTTTGGACATTCTCGTGGGTGCTTCCAAAACCAAATGGATTTGCGGGAAGCTATCATGAGACAGGTTGAGAAGGATAGAATTAAGGAGGAGATTCTTGCACAAGAGGCTGCTCGAAGAAGGATTCTCGAAGCAGAGGTAAGGATGGAGATTATGAGGGAGCGGGAAGCTGCTATCCTAAGGGGGCAGCTGCCCGAGGAGAGGTCATTTGAGGAAAGAATTGTGAGACTGATTGAGCAGAGGTTGGGAGTTGGGATCTCTAGTACTGGAGTGGCTGCTCTGCCTGCTCGAGGAGAAAATGGGAGGTCCCTAGTGGCGCCACTTCGCCAGTGGAGTATCGAGCCATGGACTTCAGAGGTGCCTTTTAAGCAACAGAGCGTGGAACCAAGATTAGTTGAGTTGAAACCTCACTCTGAGTTTCAGAGTTTGGAGCCAAATATTTCGGCACCCGAGCTTGGCAAAGAGAAAGAGAGGATCGTTTTTAAGGTTAGTGTGCATTCTTCTCCGAGTGTTTGAATCTATTATCTGTCTACATTTGAACTTGGGCATTGATGAAGTTTCTATGATTTATCCATATCGTAGACTTGTCTTCATTTTTTCTCCTAGTGTTATTGTGTATCTCTTTTCTGAATTGAATCTGGATAGTGTACACCTTTCCATATTCGTGTTATAGCTATTAATTCATTTCATCATTTACAGCTATGGCCCTACGGGAAGAAGGTCCCTTTAGGTTCTGTCTAGGCATGCAGTGCTTGATAAGTTGATAGTGCAAATTATACCATGGACCAGGGTCTACCTTGCATTGTGGACCCTGGTCCAAAAATAACCTTCAGATTCTGTACTTGCAGTTGATACACTTATGTACCTGTAGTTAACCGTTTTTGTACTTGTAAACAAATTGAAGGCACATCACATGGTAATTGTTAACTGCATGTATAGAATATTTTAACTAACATCTTATGTGTCTACAGTTAACATATTTTGTACTTGCAGTTAACAATTTATGTGTCTGTAGTTATCATGTTATGTGCCTTCAATTTGTTTATAGTACAGAAATTGTTAACTGCAGGTACAGAATGTGTTACACATAATTTTTGAATCAGGGTTCACAATGCGATATGAACCCTGGTCCATGGTATAACAATTGGCTTGATAGTGGATCCATCGATATTTGATAATGTAATGGGCCTGATGCCCTTGCACATGGCAGAGCTATTACTTGCAAACCCACCGGTGAAACTTGAAAGGTCGGCTTGGGAATGGCCTAGTGGTTATGAACTCAAATAACTACTTCTGTAGATTGCCGTTTCTTTGATGCTGTGATGCCATATTGCCATGCCATCATACTAGGCATTGCCTCGGTATATCTTGGAAGAGAATAATCTGAGTTAATGCCTGCATTGGTCCCCGAGCTTTTCGATTTTTCACCGTGGGTTCACCTGCAATAGATCATCATATGCAGTGGCACCAGGTTCATTCTGGCTCATTAAAACATGTCGGCTTGGTGGGCTTGACCTTATCATTTCTTTGATTGATTTATATATTGTCTTTCACCATCCATCAGAAGGTTACGATGTGATATATTGTCTTTGTTATGGACTATTTTTGAGTACTTTATTGCAGGCTAAGCCTGATGGAAACCTCCCTGGAATGAAGAGGAAAGCGGAAACACCACCAGAAGTAGCGATTAGCACTGAGCTGCCATCTGGCGTCCCGAAGAAGAAAGCTAAAGAGGAGTGGAGTTGTGCGCTTTGTCAGGTTAGCGCCACAAGCAAGGAGGGGCTAAATGAGCACCTCCGAGGAAAGAAGCACAAGTCGAAGGAGGCTGGTTTAAAAGCACAGCGGAGTGGGAAGAACTTCAGTATTGGGCTTTTCCCGAAGAAACCTAAACCCGATGTGCTTGCTGAAATGGCCGATGATTTGAAGTCCAAGGAAAGTTCATCGGGTGTTGTAGCAATGAAGGGATTCCCAAATGGCAACGATGCACTAAATCTGCAGATTGATGATTCTAAGGAGAAAAACTCTGGGATGGTTCAAAACAAACAAAAGACTAATGCTAAAAAGAGGAAGAAGTATAAGTTCTGGTGCGAGCACTGCAAGATAGGCGCGTTCTCCGCCAAAGTTATGGAGGACCACAAGATCGGGAAGAAGCATTTGGCCCGGCTTCACGGGATTTCTTCCCAGCCCCAGGAGATGAAATGCGAGAGCACTGCAGCCGCAGATACTCAGCTGGACACCGCCACTGAAATGGCGATTATAACACAAAAGGGACCAGAAGCAAGTGGCGGGTCAGCCATTCACTAGAAGGCGATGAGAGTTCGGGGACCTACCTGGGAGTTTTCATGCTACAAACATCCTTAAACCTCATTGGTCCTAGGATTCATGAAAATGTTGTGGGGCAAATCCTTAAACCTCATTTTTTTACCAAAAAAAAAACCATGGCAGCTTCTGTGAAAGCTGTATAGTACTATATTATCGGATAGATTTCTACCTTTTTTTGTTCAGACTTCTAAAACCTTGGAAGTTTAGAGTCCTTTGCTAGTTAACTTAGTTCTTTATATCTATGGAGGATGAAGAAATTTCCTTTCTATTTACCTGTCATATTTGTTTTTTAGGGAAAGCAATCAAGAATTGTTTAGTAAAAATTATATTTTGGTAATATAGCTAGGTGGGCCAGGTTTGAGCCACTCAAGCCACAAGAAAAGACAGGACAACATAGAAAACTCCAAACAGATCCGGAATCTATGCCACTCCCTCTTCTTCAAGAATGATTTATGGAAGAAAAAGGTATCAACTTTCAATTGGATTCCCATGAACAATAAGAAGATTGCCAAAAGAGAGTAGGAAAAAGAAAAAAATATTTCCATTTAATCTAAAAGCAGAAACTATAGAGTATCTGTTTCTACCAATAATCAAGATATTGCATATACCAAACATCATATCATATCATAATATATATATAATCTCTCTACTTGTCCTTTGGGATGGAAAACGCGGGACTGTACTCGAGGAGGGAGGGAAGGTTACCCAGCCGGGGAGGGGCCGAGGAAGAGCTTTTCTAGCCTCATTCTTGTTATGGTAGTTGAAGGATAGAGGATCAAACGCGGAGGGCAACGGGGTCTTGCCATGATATTTTCGGCTTCCTAGCTCGAGACGAGCCTTCCCCCGCATTTCTACATAGGGATATCCTCAAGTCGTTGTGTTGGTCTTCGTTTACGCCTCTCGTCATGCTTTTTTCCAGCTCGTCTGGTAACGTTGGCTCAAAGTTCCACCTTGGTTCTTCCTCGGTCTGTAAAGTCGTCGAGAAAAATATGTTAGGGAGTATAATGTGAACACGAGGAAGTTAAGATTTCAATTCGGTCTCGAGTCATTTACCGAGATCTCGTTCAAATCAAACGCGGGAGCTCGGGACGGCGGCGAAACTTCCTTCCCGCAATGGCTACTCTCGTTTAAATCGAACAGCGGGGCTGCACCGTTTCCACCAAACAATCTCTCGTTTTGGTTCAAATCAATAGCTTGTTTAGGCTTCTCGCTATAAACCCTGGAATGGTGATTAGCGTCAGAAACGGAACTCAAACGCATAACACCTTCCTTCCCGTTGTTGTGCGTCTTTTGCCGCTTATGCTTCGCGCCGGTGGGGCCCGGAAATACGTCTTGAGGAGCAGTTTCCTTCGACATTCTTCCCTTCTGTTTCAGGCCGGGTAGCGGTGGCAACTTGCGCGGGGCCGCATCTTTCTTGTTTGGCCTCGTGCCCTTCGCCCCGGTTTTAGGATAGATTTCCACGTTTTGATGCTGTGCTACCTTGTGCTCTTGCGGGCTCTCCATCGACTTCGCTTGCAAAAGGTATTTGTGCCTCCGACGTAAGAACCTGCAAAGTAAAATCGCCATTTGAGTAATTCGAACAAAAACACAAACCCTCGAGATAATTTCTATAACCAAACACCGGAAACAAATAGATAAACAGATATAGGATGCCAAAAATACATGATTGCTTCGACCAAATTCTCATTCGATATTCAAACACCATTGCGGAAACACGAATATATATGTAAACACCATACCGAACTTCAGCAAGTAATATCATCTTCCGCTTTTTCGCATCCTCCAACTTGTCTCTGATGCCATTTGTTTCCTATTCAACACCACAAATTCAAGTAAATTAACTGAGACCTACACAACCCAAAGCACCAATTCTCCTAAAACCATTTTTATAACATCCAAAACACATCATATAATCACTGCCACTCTGCCAGCAACATATTTTGGAGCCACAAATACTAGAAAACAACCTATCAATGTTAAATTCTTAAGTAAAACAACCTAAATGCTATATTTTTTTTTTGGTAAAACTGAAAAGAACTTTTGTGCTATATGGCTCCAGTAAACAAACACAAACAAGGGAAAAAAGAAAAACACAAACACCAAGAGGGGTTCAAGCTGTTTAATCCCAGATTGTCTGGTTTGCAGAATTGCAGACAAACATAGGGTATGTTGAATCCCAGACACTAATACTGGAAAGGGTGAAAGTACACAGCAATTCTCATAAACAAAATTAAAACTATAATAACAAAGCAGAACAAAACTATGTATTAAAGGAACACAAGGAGTTTGATTTCACCAGATAAACTTAAAAAATCAAATAACAAAATACCCAATCAGTGACCTAAACAGTTTTCATATCAATAACAACAAGAAAAACCCAAAGGGAAAATCAAATCAAGAATCAAAGAGAAGCCCAAAAAAACACAGATCTTGGAAAGAGAGATCAACAAGAAACCAACCCTTTGCAGTTCTTGAAAGTCCTGGAAGAGATCCTGGTGCTTCATCCTGGCCTTGGCATCATCATACCCACCAAAACTGGGTGATTCCATGGAAGCCCTTTTCATCTTCTTAGACATCAGATCGCGAGAGAATCAAGAGAGAGAGAGAGGGAGAGAGAGGGGGGTAGAGAGAGGGAGGAGAAAAGGATAAAAAAGAAAGGAGAGGCGTAGAGGAGAGAAATAATGAGGGTATGGAGAAAGAAAGGAAAAGACAGAGAGATAAGGGAGGGGGGTGTGAGGAGGAGGTGGTGAGAAGGTTCTTTAGAGCTTTCCTGTTTTCTCTGTGAAAGAAAGAGAACTCTGACCAAGACAAAGCCCAAAAAGCCCACATATATCGGGTGTGAAACTATATAGTATTTAAGAATATATAAAAACATTGATTGTTGTTTTGGAAGAGGCTGCAAAGGTGGGGGGTGATGGATGATGATGATGATGATGATGAAGATGGGAATTTTTTCCCTTGTAGCAGCAGAAGGGTATTTGTGGCAACATCTTGTTTTCTCACTTTCTCTCCCCCAAAATTGAGGTCTATGAGGTGGGTTTGGTTGGAGGACATTTGAAGACACCTCTCTCTCTTTCTCTCTCTCTCTCTCTCTCTCTTGTTTCCCCATGGTTTCTTTTTTGTTTTTCTTTCTTTCTTCTCACACAAATCTTGGTCCAGCTGGGCCATTACAGAGGGTTGGATAGGGGTGGACTCTTTCTTTGATTTTGATGGGTTTTTGTGCAGTTTCTACAGTCTTCTCTTCCTTCTTGAATTCTTGAAATCTTGCCCTCTGCTACATGGTAAAGATTGGGTTTTTCTTGCTTTTTAGGGGTTCGGCCGTTTTGGGCAGACAGGGCTGGACGGTAAAGATGAGAGTTTTTAGAGAGAGAGAGAGAAACTCATCAACATGCTGAAAAAGCAGCCATGAGAGAGAGAGAGAGAGAAAGAGAGTGGGTGCTTTCTGATTTGTTGCAGTTTTTGGTAGTACCTTGTTTTTAGGCTTTGATGGCATGAGAGTGATGTCTATCCACATTAGTATTATTAATATTAATATATTTGTGTGAAATTACGGTTTTACCCCCCTTTCTTGGTGTTTTCCCATTTCATTCCCCCAAATGGTTCTATTTTCAAACTTGCATAAAATGGGAGACCAAAGATTCAAGACTTACCATTTTGGTTGTGTGGGAAACCATGACTGGTTGTGGAGATTTTTCCCAGGAGGGTAAATTAAGTTTCAGGCCCTCCATTCCTAGATTCAATGTCTCCATTGCAGGGGTATTTTGGTAATTTCACTTGGAATATATTTATAATGCATACAACAAATATTTCAGGTTTGGGAGGAAGTCCATGTCCACATCCTCAACCACACCCATCTTTTTTACACCTAACTTCACCATGCCCACAGCCCACCTGCCTTCAAAACCCACACTTTTTTAATACAAGTTTTCAATTTTGCCACTTGCCCAGATTTAGCTGGTTCAGTAGGCAGTATATTTAAAAGAAGGGCTAATGTTTAAATTTCGATAGTGGTAGTATGAAATTTATGTTCAAAGTTGACAAATCCCTTGTGCGCACTGGTATTTGGTCATGTTGTTGAGTCATTGTGATTTACATCATTCCAAATGTTATACAGGGTCGAAGTATGGGGCACTTGGGATTGAGAATTAAACCTTGGGAGAAGATTTCAATTTATATTCTCTCAAATGCTCTGTCGGGCCTATGGAGTCTCTCAACCTATTGAAGCACAAAGAACGTCCCATTTGATGTTTGAACTTGTGACCTCCCATTTGAGAGAGTCACAGAGGTGTCACTGAGTTACAAGTTACTTAACAACATTTACATAGTTAGTCTATAGGTAATATACCCCGGTCTCGACTTCCCTATACGTTTGTGTTCTCGTTTTGTATTCGGGTCGAGTCAACCGGTTTAGGCTTCGATTCGCGGGTCAAAGTCAAACCCATCACACTTGGGCTTATAAAAAGGTCCTTAGCCCTACCTCCATTTTAAGGGCTCCTATCCCTCTCCTCCACTACACTCTCTAGATTAGACTCTCTCTCTCTCTCTACAAACTCTCTAAAGTATACAATGAATAAAAAAGTCTCCTTCGAGCTATTATTCAGATAATTAATTTTTACTCTACATACATACGGTATGCACTCCACATACATCGAGTAATAAACCGTATCAGTTAGTTAAAGTAATTATTGATTTGTTGGTTTGGTAATGGAGAACCCAACCAAAGTGTAAAAACCCACAAAGCACAATCCATGCAAGTGTTGGTAAGAGTGCAGTTGTGCCTGATCATGCATATATAGGTTACAATTAACTCAAAAGTATTAATCTTAACAAACACAAAACATCATCAAATTAATACCATGTTGTTGATAATATATAGTCCACCAATAATAAATTCCTTAACACTGAAGTTAAACCCAGATTTGGGATTATGGATGGTGGACAAAAAGGACAACACAGAGAAAGGAAGAAGTAAGAGGAAACTTGAAAGAAGAAAACAGGGTTGCTAGCTAGCCAACTACATCACTCATTTCACACATGTAACATGTTAAGGAAAAAGGTTACGTTGTAGGGTTAGTTTCTTAAAAAGTTTGGTTCCTTTAGTCTTAGATAATAATTTTGTCACCAAATAGATTGTAATTTAATGACATTTCTGTGCTCTCCCAAATGTAAAATCATAAATTCTACATTGTAATAGAGTCAGTAATACTAAAAACAAATTAACAATTTTGTCGGTCACTAGCCCCTACCAGCAGCTTCCAGTATTTATGCATATATTCATACATATAACATATTACATATATATATATATAGAAAACTGTTCAGGTGTGAATTCTTCTTATCATGTGCATTTGTGCACTATTACCAGCGGTGCATGTGGCATGATCAATAGTCACAAATGGGGGTGCACGCTTGTCCGGTGCACTGCGGTTACCCAATCAATTACACTGATTTGCACGGATGCGTGCGATAGGGGCGGTTGGATAATTTCTCAAGGACTGCTGGAGCGCGTTTAGGGGGTTTTGTTTTGTGTTTTACTTTTGTTGCGTTCACAGTCGGTTTCCCAGCTCGACACGTCAATTGTGACAACATCGTGCATTCTCCAGTGCGAGATGACTCGATCCAGTGGCGGGCGCCGTGAGGGGAGGGGTAGGTCGAGGCCGCCATTATCGCCTGCGACTCCGCCGTCGTCTGGGTCGCACAGAGTGGCTGCGGGGTCCCGGCCACTCAAACGTCGTTCCGGCCACCGTAAGCCGTATTTGACGGCTGTTGGGGGTGTCGCCCGGTCTACATCCAGGATAGCGGCTAGGGTTTCTGCAAGGCATCAGGTGGCGCACCGGTGGGATCAGGCAGGTTAGTTCATGTGCTCAACCTCTGTAATTGTGTACTGGGAGTGCTATGGGGCTAGGGGGTGTGCTTGGGGTGAGTACGTAGCTGGGGGGAGAGGGGTTTGTCACTGACACCATCAAAATTGACTGCGGTTCAGCTCACTAATTGGTAATGTATTACAGCATGCAGAGAAAGAAAATTGGGTGTGTAGTTATATTTAAATTCCTAGGTTTTATACGATTTGGGAGTTTTTGTTATCGATTTTGGAACAGAATGTTTGGGGTTCCATTTGAGGGTTTACGGTTCAATTCATATAGGGTTTAGGGTCAGGTGCATTTGAGGTCTGCAAATTTATGTAGTGGTGCTTTACCGGTGTGCATTCGTGTAATGCACCTCACCTTAAACAACCTAAACTCACCGTCACTGTATGCACGAGGAAATTAATTGAACCGAGATGTTTATTACTATGCCTACTGTGTTGTTCTTGCATTAGTAAGGTGCTAATTAGTAATCACCTACTGTTTTGGTTATTATTTTATTAGTTAATTGCCTTCTGTTTTTTTTTTTAATTGCTTACTGTGTTATTCTTTAATTAAACCAGCCTCTAAACACTCTGAAGAACAAGAGTTTTAGATGCCTATCTACTAACAGTAACACTATGTATGCATTATATTTTATCAATTAACTGCCTTCTATGCTATTTTTAAATTTCCTTCTGATCACTTCTTGTATTGTTTAATCTTTAAGTTTTTAGTTAAAGATGAGAACTTTGATACTGTTGATACTGTCTGGACTGAAATTTGTGGGTGTGAGGTTAGAATTGGATCAGTTGCATGGCACTAGTGCATTAAACATTAGATTAAGTCCATAGATGCATCCAACCCCTGAATGCACAAACAGAATTTATAGCAAGAACATAACTTGACTACATCTAAATGAGTTAGTTGTGAACCACCATTCTAAATGCACTATAAAGAAACAGAATTAGAGGTGATTTACACTATAAAGTATCAATACCAAATGACATTTTTATCAAGTTATTATTATTAGTTCTTTCTTTACGTTCTTACTAAACCCATTTCTACCTGAAGGTTTATGATACTTTACTATCACATCTCTTATTAATTCATATTACTCCATTTTCTCCCAACTAGAGTAGCCCTAGACTTCCTGATGCACTAAAGTTTACATTTGCAGTAAGTTACATTTGCACTAACTAAATGCGGCATGTCATTGTGTGTTGTCAAGGTGTCGATGCCCAACAACCAATCGTTTTAAACGACGACGAGAGTGAGGCGGATGTGGAGTTCCACACTCCCCCTCGTGAACCCGAAGAGTTGCCACGTAACTGCATGCACCTGGCTTTTATTAAGATTAATATGTTGTATCTAATGTGTTGTTCTGGTCTTTTTTTTTTTTTTTTTTTTTGGTGCACTTGGCTATGGAATAATAGGCATTGCAAAGTGGGTTAATATGGGGTTTTGAGTGATGGAGTTTGGTGGTTTTTTAAATATTTCTAGTGTGGAAATGCAGGATGCATGGTCATTTTGTTGTAATCTGGCAGTTAATCGCAGTCCTGAAATGCTTTGTATTGTGTGCATCATTGATTGATGCTCAATTAGTAGTGATGGACCCCATATAGGTGGGTGTGCACTTGGTTTGGTTTATTGGTTTTTTTTTTGTTTTCACCTTATGTCAATTGTTTAATCATATTGCCACCTTATGTCAATTGTTTAATCATATTGCTATGTTCCTCTGATGGGAGTTTTGCCTTAGTTGCCTTGTTGACTAATGTTTTGCATTACCACGACAAATCATGCACCTAAAAAAAGAAAAAGGAAAGCAACACGCTGAGTGCACCAAAGTTTAATTTGTGCACGAAGGTTTAATAAGCAGATTTAGTGCACCAAATTTAATCAGAAGTAGTGATATGCACTTATGCCTGTGCTTTGGGGGTTTGGATTTATTAACATTGTTAATAGTGCACATCCACAGCAGTATCCCACCCCATTGTTGCTATTACTCTGAAATGCACCACTCACTAGCATCTACGGTTACACATATTTTATCTGTGCAATAATAATACATATCAAGGACCATCATAACATTCAGCTGAAGTATACCTTTAGATGGCTAATTACTAATGTATGCACTTAATTTCCATTGCAGGTACTGCAGGGGAGGGAGACCACTCCGGAACCGGCTGGTCAGTCCAGTGTAGCCACACCAACTATGCAGGTCCTGGTTTAAACATCCCCCATTCTGTACACTACTGTAGTTACGCATGGATATCATGATTAACACATGCAGGTACATCTCCGTGCGCAGCTAAGGGGAAACATAGTGGACTCGTCAGCCAAGTATGTAGCCATGGGAAGGAGGATTGGGGCAGACCGCAAAGGCAAGAGCCCCCTTGGGCACGGGAGCGAACCTTTTCGCATGTTTTTCAGCACCGCGTCAGGGTACCCCTCAATCCCCCTCCCACCCATTTACGTTGTTTGGATGTGGCTTTTTAGCTCCCCACACGGTGATCGATAAGTAGGATACACCCTATTTAGAAAACATAGGGATTTCAGAACATAAACAGTGTGTAACAAAAGCATTGTTCGTGGACTTTGTTAGCAATGAACATCTGTTCCAACACGCCACCCGCAAAGCAAGAGAGAAATTTAGGAGGCGGGGTGTGCCTTCCCGCATGTTTGTCACGATTGCCGTTACGGTATGTACCTATGAATAGTACTAGTACTTCACTTTTGGAATCCCCGCTTTTGGCCAGGTTATAATGCTGTGTACATGCAGATGGGGACTGTGGGGAGTGTTTCTTCCAGCCGGAATGAGAGGCTCGCGTGGTTCACACGGCGACTTGATGCCGACGTGCAAGATTCAAAACATGTGGGGTTGGCCACTTTAGACATGGTAACGATTAGTGCATTTTAGACATAGGAGGGGCACATTGTTAAGTTCACACAACCACCACAAATAACACACTCCACATGTGCCCAGCACTATTATGCTCACAAGTAAACTTGTAACGCTGATGACTTACTATCCCAAACTGCACTGATCTCAACTAATGTACTTTGTTTGTGGCAGTATATATTCCCAATAATGCACAGGGGCCGCTACTATGTAATGAGCATCAGTTTCAAACATTCTAGCTTCAACATCATTGATAGCTCACCGGCACGAACGGGTACGTAGGGATTAGTCATGATGCTCACTGGAAGACTTTTGGATTGTGTATATAAAACCTTTATATAAGCACACAAATGGTGCAGTCCGTTAGTTTGTGATCATTATCAGCGACATTAATTTGCCTGGCGTTTAGATATTCAAACAGCCTATCATTACTAATTATTGCTTGGTTTTTATTTTTACCAATCATAGTATAACAAAACCTCCCCATTGTCTATACTCTATAGATTATACGCCAAGTTGTACCTATTATTAATTCTTAACATTTAAAATCTGTTTCAAAACGCAAGAAATCGTAATCAACAAGTGCATTCATCCTGAAATAACTAACGTAATTTATTTTGCTAACGTAATTCATTCTGCTACAGACGTTTTGGAATCTTAATCAAAATAATAAAGAGTTCAAAAACTATAAGAAAGAAAAATACCAAAAATTAAAAAACAAAATATGGCAAAAAAAAAAAAAAAAAAAAAAAAACCAGTACGGTGGTGATGCTCAAGAAGTCAATGAAAAAAGTGATTAAAGAATACAAAAGAATAGAAAGTAAAACAGTATTCCGGGATTCGCAAGGGAGTACAAGATATGGGTATCAAGAGAAGAAATGGCGAAACCCACAATTACAAATAATACAATTAGGACTAAGATTTCTCCATCGTAAAACTACCAAAATCATTAGAGAAGATTGCTTACATTATGAAAGCAAGGTGAATCAAGTTTAGGTCTAAAGGTATGGCAGTATGCAACAGTCTTACTATACAAAATATAAATTTACAATGTCCCATCACCTAAGCAGGTTGCACAACCAATATTGTTGCAACACAAATGCTAATAATCTGAACACAGCCTATATGTATAATTGAATGCACCCAACATTCAATAATTTTATTTTATGCACTTAAAGGCCACACCACAACCATTCTCATCTAACTAATAACGCTACTCATGGGTCCAAACATGTGTTTTGAAACTTACAGTTGTGAAATCAAATTAAATGCATCATATAACTAATTTATACACACAAATGCACTACAACTTAATTTTTTGCTAAAACGTAATTAATAATAAGCATTCATAGTAAGTTTGTACCATAGGTTGCATCAATCGAAATTACGTCACTAAATAAGGAAAAATTGCGATGACCATTGAGGTCAACCCAGAAAAGCCGTGCAACCCGATTCTCTTCATCCAGGTAGTAATCCAAAAAGAAGTTTTCACAAGCATCGCGCTTCGTTCTAAACTTTTCTATAATCATCTCACCATCATTTCCATCAACGTATGCATGTAGGTCTCGTTTAAAATTGTGAAACTCCGTATCTGTCGCGCCAACGTTTGTGTACGAGCCGGTCACCTCCCTGTATAACTTGAAACTTTTGGAAGAACCAATATTCGCTTTAATGTAATTTGCTGCAAAGACCAGTTGTCCCACATACAACTTCCGATTAACTCTCATAAATAACTTTGACGTCTCGGAGCACATACGGTGTCTCGCCCTCATTGGCACCTGTGAGAGGTACCACGCAGATATAACATGTGCAGTGCAACCAAAATAACATGTACACAATTATACTTAATGTGCAAAACACGTTCTTTAATATTATATACAAATCTATAAATAACATGTACACAATTATACTTAATGCAAACATACATTACATATAAAAATTTAGTCTCACACAACACATACACACAGATTGAACTACAATAAATAAATATATATATTTGAAAACAGAACCAATACAATTGGGGCATTCAAGGGGTGGACTGCTTAACAGGTCGAAAGTAAATTAAGTACGAATGCACACCGGTAAAGCACCACTACATAAATTTGCAGAACGCAAGTGCACCCGGCATTATATGAATTGGTACTATTGGTGGATGTATTTTAGCTTTGCAGAATTCACTGCAACGCTAAACAGGTGTGCAACCACAATTGTTACGCTTTCAAGCATTTAGACGACACTCTATACGCATGAAAACAAACTAAAAACACAGCCTTGTGCGTACCCAAGACACGATTACTGTAAAATAAACTCAGACTACAACATAACAATACATGGTGCAAGGCTGAATTGAATAATCCAAAGATCAATTTTCTGATAGAATGATATAAGCTCCCACACATTACAAACCACAGACTTTGGATGGGTATACTACCCATTCAACCGTTCTAACTCATTAGCCACTGTATAATGTTCACATCATTTATCAAGCGATATTGGATTAACATCACATTGACCTGTATTGATCAATCCATATTCCCATCCCTGTATACTCCTACTGCCCAGGTGAGTGTAGCAACGGCAACTATGCGGGTCCATGATTACTCCAGCGGCCACCCGTACAGACGCGGAGGACCACTAACATGCACCGACGACCCACCCCTGGGGACATCGGTTAGGGGAGGGAGCCTTGTGCATTGCCACCGTGAGGAAGCAACGTGCAAGTCAATATATTAAGTGCAATGGCCGTCCCAATCATTGACATGCACAATGTACCAGTTCATCCATTTAAAAAAATTAAATATAGAATGAAATCGCCGGCCCAATCACTGTCAGCCGCCGTGAGGGAGTAACTCTCAACCGTTGCAGCGCTAGGCGTGTAACGACGAGTAAGAAACAAGGCATAGGGGAGAATCGGTCTAACCTGACATGCCGTTCATCGGAATTGCACTACGTTGTTATCGCCACGCTCTGCAAATCTCGGACGCCGGCGGTGGACTCACGACGAACAACGATACACATGCACGGGTTTGGCGTAGGTGATCGTTAATTCAAACACAATTAAGTTGGATTTACGTAACTGCCCCCATCCTTGCCTGTTGCGCAGATCACAACGTATGGGGTGCACTTAAAATATGAGCCACCAGATTACAAGAATCAATGCACCACGTTAATTCACAAGTTCACATGCTAATAGTGGTGTGCACCAGAAAAGCACCCTATATATATATATATATATATATATATATATATATATATATATATATATATATATATATATATATATATATATATAGAAGAGCGCTCATATGCGGCGGAGTCTTACGGTGCGGCAGTGCGGTCAAATTCCAGAATACACCAACAGTGTTAACAATATGCACCAACAGTGTAATAAAAACACACCCCAATAAAATGTAATAAAACATCACAAAATACACCACAGACTCAAAAAAACACACCATATAACTCACCACCCCCAATGGTGTATTTCCGAACAGTGTATGGTGTTTTTACTCACACCTAATGGTGTGTGTTTGGTGATGCAGGGCTCTGTTTACTCTGTTTTGTGTGGTGTATTTCCTAACGTTGATGGTGCATATTTGGTGAACTATTGGTGTTGCCGCACCGTAAGAAATAACCGCACCGTAAGACACTGCCGCACCTAAACCCGCCTATATATATATATATATATATATATATATATATATATATATATATATATATAGAGAGAGAGAGAGAGAGAGAGAGGTTGTTAGAGAGTGAAGGATCTGTATCCAGCAGGCTATTTTGTTTGGCGCATTAAAATTGAAGTTGGAAGCTGGAAAAGAAAGGTTTTAACTTTTTAGACCCCTGAGGTTTTAATATTATTGATTTGACCCACTGCTATTTTAAGAATAACACTAGCTTACCCTTAAGAATTCATGACTTCTATTGTCCTCCCACTCACTCATGTAATTAGGTGTTTATTTAAGTTTATGAACACTAAAACTACTTATGTCTTGAAGATTAATAAATGAGATAAATTATAAGATGTGGGAGATATTGGTCTATAAAAGAAGTAATCATATGATGTGTAAATTTATTTTAATTACTAAGTAATTAATTACAATTTGAATTTTGATAGTCTAACAAAATATGTATACAATAATGCTATTTACGAATATAGGAGATTTAGTTAGTGGTTGGAGAACTTAGTTTATTTGTATAATATTTATTTATTAAGAAAATAAGACAAAGGGTCCTCTCAAAAAATAAGACAAAGGGACCTATAGATAGAGTTGGGAGAATGCATTTAATGCAACATTATAGTGGAGCATGACTTTGGTTTGTGGTGTATAATAATTAATTTACATTAATTAAGTAAAATAAAGTTAGTATTCATAAATACATATCCGGTCTCATTTTATGCGTATTGATTCAATTAATAAGGTTTAGTTTAAACTATTTACAACTTAAATTTTTTAAATATTTAGTGTAGTATTAGTATATGAAATTTATATATTTAGAGTCTATGTTAAAAATACAAAAAGCAAAATTTAAAATTATGAAAAACATTAATGAAAATAAATCAAGGAGGAAATGTTGGTTTGATTAGTAATAAACATGACAACTAAAATAAAATGAATGGAGTAATTTTTTTTTTTTTTAAATTGCAATACCAATTATAAAAATATCAATGATGATTACAATAATAGTGATACATATTCGGTTAATTACCTAACTTATATACATTTAAACTTTTCTGTATGGTGCAATCTTTGACTTAGGAAAATTGAGGTCAATGGGGATCACATTTCATGATATCAAGGAAAATAAATCTCACTTAAGGGGAGTGCGATTTGTTTGTGGCCTACGGAGAATTTGTAAATTTTAACATATTTATCCTTTTCGGTGTCATACTGTCCTATTAAAAGTCTCTTATATAATAAGTTAATAAGTACATATTAGGAAAAAGTTTAAATGAACCAAACGTGTTAATTAATTATTCAGATAATTTAATTGTTATGTTTCCGGGGTAACACCACACATGCTAATTAATTTTCCTAGTAAAGTTATTCCCATCAAATTATTTCTTAGAAATATTTCCCCGAGAATTTAATTGATGGAAAGTATCAAACGTCCTCTTAAATTATATTTTCTTTTTGCCAACGCCTTCTTGGTTATGACCGTCGCACAAGATATTCCTAGTACAATTTATATCTCTTATATAGTTTGTGAGCTATTACATCGAAATAGAACTTACCCAGTGTACACCCTTAAATATAATGGTAAGTTTCCCTCATCATTACCAATAAATAAATAAATAAAATCTATAACAATTAAAAATTCCAAATAAAGTGAAAAAAAAATTGGAAAATATGTATGCTTTTAAGATATTTTATTTTAATCAGACTTATTATAACAGAAAATCTCTATCCTCTTTTCAAGCTCAAAAGCTCTTCACTCCGTCTTCTTCTCCCTCTGCGCGCCTGTCGAAAATCGAGATGGCGTCAACGAGTGCTCTCACCGCTGGGATTTCAAATCTCCAACGCTCTTCACTCTCATTCTGTAATATTTCTGTCGCTTACCGTTTGGTGTGTGTTTGTGTGTCCTACTTTAGCATCGAACGATTTCAGCTTTTGGGACTCTATGTGCTTAATAATTAAGAAATACTGAGCTTCAGTTCAGCATGAAACTTGAAAGGTTCTAATATATACAATTTCTTTATACTTCTTCTTTAATCTATTGTTATTTTGCTCGAGTATGTGAAAAGCCGATTGCCAATTGTTACCAAAGATGCAATTTTTTTATCTTTCATTCATGGTTTTATGTTCTAGAACGATTATGTGGTTGTCAAAATGTTACATTTTAACAATGGTTTCTTATATTACCTATATGGATTCGTGTTGAGTTGTTGTATTGTCTGTTAGTCTAACTATGAGGAAAAAAAATTGCTACTGCTGGAGTTAGAAAGGTAAAGAAAACTAGTTTTGTTTCTCTGGATTAAGAAACTCATTGGAAGTTCTAGAATTATGGATATATTAGCTGATAATATTATTGATTTAACACCCATCTAAGGAACTTTATAGTCCAGGATGATTTCCTAATGGATTTTTGTAAGAATGCGAAAATCAGAAAGTAAAGGAGGTTGTACAAGCTTCATTGATCCACAATCGAGACAAATTTAGCTGCCACTAGGTTACTATTCTAGAATAATTTCAAAATTTCAAAGGCACTCAAGTTAATTTGATATTTTAATGTGCGTTTATTTTTCCTTGTTAGTCTTGATACATATACATGAAAGCAGATGAAACATTCGAATCCTCCAGCTTTGTTTCCTTTTTTCTTGAACATGTTAAATACTTGAATCTTCTTTTCATGTTGAGATTGACTTTGTATGAATGTTGGAAATTCCCAATTTTGTTTAACTTTAAAATCATTTCTAAGGATTGTTTTGGAATTCAGCACCTGATATTTTATTGTTTCTGCAGACAAACCTATTCCCAACACAAATCAAGTAGGTGTCCTGACGCAATCACAAGTTGGTTTTACAAAGGTTGTAGACAAGCATAGACCTCTTAGAATCTATGCACTATTTGGAGGAAAGAAGGATAATAATGACAAGAGCAATGATGCTTCTTCTAAGGTATGCAGTTAGAATATTAGAGTAAAACAGAATTTCATGTTGTGATAATAATCATAATATGGATTGCTTATTTGCAAGCTTTTGACCTATCACCTATTCATCTCTCTATTTTCCCTTAAACCTTTCTATGTTGCTACATGGTTGTCCTGTCTATCCATGTGATAGAACAAGATAATTAAATAGAATATCCTTACCGTTACTTAAAACTGATAGGCAGGTATTTTGGGGAACATGCAAAATTTATACGAGACCGTGAAGAAAGCACAAATGGTTGTCCAAGTTGAAGCTGTTAAAGTACAAAAAGAACTTGCTGCGTAAGTTTCCCATTGTAAAATGAATTAACCTTCTTATGTTCTCCTTATACATTATAAATGACTCAAATTGCTCTAAATTTTGGTTAAACATTGGGATTCATTTTTGCAGAGCAGAGTTTGATGGTTACTGTGAAGGCGAGCTAATCAAGGTATGGTATTTCCTTTTTCTTATAGTAGAACTTTATTTAAAAGGTTAAGTTCATATTTATACAACAGATGCTAGAAATCTGACTTGCGGCACAAAATGAGGCCTGGTTAAAAGGACCACAAAGATTAAGCTTAACTGAACACTATATAATTAATTAATTATGAGAGTCCTTGAGCTTGGCATGGTTTTTTTTTTTTTTTTTCAAACCTGAAGTTTAATCAGTTTGTTTAGTTTAATTTGGTATAATTGAAGCTAGAAACCTGGCTTGAGGTACAAAATGAGTTACAGTTGAAAAAACAAAATGATCAAGCTAAGTTATATTCTACTCCGTATATGTTTATACAATTATGATAATCCTAAAACTTGGCCTGATAATTGCTTGTGTAGTAATCTATAAACAGCTTAAAGTCTACTCTAGCCATTCTTACTAAAATTTTATGAACATCAATCTAAACTTATTGCTTTCTAGATCATGAGCTCCATGTCTAGGATCAGTTTACAAATTATGAAAGAAAAGGTTTTGTGGAGTGGTGAGATCATATAATCACTTAAAACTGAGCCATCCATATCTGAATTTATTCCATGAAGCTCTCAACTAAAATTCTTTGCAGGTAACATTATCCGGTAATCAACAACCCATACGCACTGAGATAACAGAAGCTGCTATGGAATTGGGAGCAGAAGTGAGTTCACTTGTTTGTACTCTTTTAAATTTTACTAATATAACCTGACTTTCTGGCTCAATACTTCATTTAAATATTACTAATATAATCTGACTTTCTGACTCAATATAAAGATATTTTTTTTTTATCATTTTACATAGGGCTGCAGCATGTCTGATATTTTTGTCTTCACAAGTCTGTGATAGTAATATTTGATACCTGATTCTTACTCACTATAGATGCTCTAAGGTTATTATATCAGTGTACCATATTGCTCCAAGCACATCATAAGTTTTGTTAGAGCAAGTAAACCTGGTATATACACAGCCTAAACCTTATTGCTATCAAACCAAATTCATTGTCTGGTTGACTTTGCATGTCAATGACATTCTATAGCTTAACTCATTTCTTTCCCTAAATGAAAAATGTGAAAGAAGGCACATTATTTTACCCTTTTCTCTGTACAGCTGGGGTGAGGAGGGGGTCTCTGGAAACAATTAGCCAACTAGGTATTTGGAGTGGCATGTTCTTTGGGCCTCTCTCCTTTGCCGTTAACAAGTAGTATGAGTGTATGACTATAAAGGATGCTAATAACTTCAAATATTGGAAACAATTTCCATTACAAGTGAACCATATTAACCGAGTTGCAATGTCTTTTGTTGTGAAGAAACTCTCGCTTCTGATTAATGAGGCATACAAGGATGCACATCAAAAGAGTGTCCAAGTAAGAATCTCATACTGCTGTGGTTTCCTCTGCAACTCTTCCTCCCCACTTTGCCTTTCCTTGCCTTTTTATTTTATATTATTTTTTCCTTCAATGATCTTCTACATTTGGTTGGTTGATCATTTTATTCCTGAAAATGACCCCCTGTTTTACAGGCCATGAAAGAGAGGATGAGTGATCTTGCCCAAAGCTTGGGGATGCCACAGGGTCTAGGTGAAGGATTCAAGCAATGATATCTCTCTAGTTCTTTAGAATGTTTGAGGCAAAATGTACTGTGATGGTCTTGTGAACATGTTTTTGTTCAATCTTTAATTTCTGTTATAAATACCAGTGTGATATTCTTTTTCCTTTTCCTTTTTGTTATGGGGGAGGTGGATTCAAGAAGAAGTCAGTCTGACAACAGGCTCTTGATAAACACCAACCATTTGATCACACACACAAAAGGATTATTAATGCTTACAAGTTACAAACTGTTTGTGTTAGAATTAAGAATGGATTGGAGGTGATGAGTAGCTACTTGAATCTATAGCCATTATAAACCCATTGCTTTCTCTCTGATTTTGCAATGTGGGACACACTTTACCTCATAAAATTTGGGTATTGACTAAATAAATGGTTCTCATAAGAGTCATTTCTTTTATAAAATTATGATGGTTCATTCTAATACAAATTGAAATGAATGAATTTTGTTCTACTTTGCTAGTCCCATAACTTTCATGGGACCAATGAATTGCATCCACCTCAGGCTGCATTCTGTCGCTCCTTCTGAGCATTGCTACCATTCGTCATACTTGTCAAGATCTTGGTAATTCTTTGCCAGCCAAGAATGATTGGAAAAGTATAAAAGCTCTCCTTGGTTGAAATAGAGGTACTTCATGGCCAGCTCCTCTGACTGTGGCAAAGGTGAGTCCATCATACACCTCTGTCCATCCTCCAACCTATGAGTTTATTTTATATTGATGTCAGTGCTGAATTTCTTTTTTAATATCTAAAACTTGATTACTGTTGCATGGATAGTAGTCATAGTACAAATGTTCTTTGCACTCACCTGTCCACCGGAGTACCAGGGGTACCATTGAGTTTTAATTTTGAGATTGAGATGGCTGAGAGAGAACCTTGTGGCTGTCACAGGAACCACTGAATCTGTATCTCCACTGCATTAAAATGTAAACAATTACTGCTATACTTAAGGAGCTTTTCTCCACAGATACTAGTTAGCAATTAATTCTGAGGATCTATCTTTATTGGTTTGTTAAATTTTGGGTCTAGCTGATTTAATTAGCTGTCTTGATACAGTGACAGTGTGATGTTCTTATACTGTTCTTTATGTTGATAGAAATTGTCCATAAATTTGAATCTGAAACTTCCAACACTTAACAACTTATTAGGTGATGAACCATGATGTAAATTAGATTAGTGGCAACTATGATTTGTTTTTTCCAATAAATTTGTACAAGTCCAGACTTATGTGACTGAGAAATTAATGTTAAAGTGCATGAAAGGCCAATAGGCATGTATTTATATACCTGAAAACCCAGATTCTAAGACCAGCAGCCATTAGCTTCCTGTATGTTGGTAGGACTGAGAATTCAGAATCCTTCCAGTTCTTTATCAATACTTCGCTGTTAAGAAATAATTGAAGAACAACTGTCAAGAGAAAATTTTAACATATTTTGCTTTGTTCTGCTATTAGTTTATTTCTCATTCTACCATGATTGGGATATTGTATTAAGAGCAAAACATGGAATTTTAAGATACAAGTACCTGCAAGCAGTCCATTTGTAAGGAATTCCTGTAGTGTTTGCATGCAGGGCTTTCTGTACATCTGGCCGGTTATAGTATTTTTCTGCATAATTCTCAGTGCATGGATCATAGCCTGAGAATCTTCGGTGTATAAGGGTGTTCTTGACCCTTATGAGGGTACTATTCTGTGCTACCTTGCATGTTGGTGTATATATACTATACTGATCAATGTCCCCAAATTCATGGTTCATGGCATAATCCACAATGTCATCGCACTTCTTTGAAGATTTATCTGATGTGAAGTTGCATGAATTTAGGATGTTCTTATATGTCTTGTCTGAAATCATCGCATGGCTCCACCAGAATGCTACAGTTCCAATGTTGTCATATTTGCTGTCTGTAACAGCATTTCCAACCTGCTCATTAATGTACTCTGTTTAGTTGACTACTTTATATTTTCGGTAGGATGTTTGGCAGTGAATTAACATATGTAAACACTCACAATAAACCCTTTAAGGTTGATGATTGGGTGGGATAATCCTTTGTTATAATCAAAGATTTTGTTTGCTAACTGGGGAACGTAATGCCCTAACAAAAATAGCCTGCATGTTAGATGCTAATATTCAACCGGGAATTGTGTGGAGATGTGGAAGAGGAATTATCTTTATCTACCTGCATAACTTTCTCCAGAAATGTAGAAATCTCTGTATTTGTATTGTGGAAATCTTGACATCCATCTTACGAGGAAATTTAGGGCGTCATTTGCTGCCAGAAACATCAGCTTTAAAAATCAATTGAGGTTTCAACAGAAATAATTCTTGTTTTTGTGCACATGTACACAGATATACCTGTTCTGTTATCCCCAGAGTCTTTCAGATCAGAGCTTGTATTCGTGTACGAGAAACCAACACCAGCAGGCGACTCAAGGAACAGAATATTTGCCACTGTAAGCATTAAACATGTTACTCGTATTTTGTTTTCGTTTTCTTAAACTGCAATTTGAAGTGAATTGCTGCTACCTTTATTCCATGAATATTTGTTCAGATATAGAGAGGAACCGGTTTTGTTGATCCGAAATGGACCTATTTCTTCCGATGCTCCATAAGCCACTGATGAACAACCTGGCCCTGCATTGCCCATCTTTACCGTTAAAACTTATGTGAATCTTTCATATTGGTTAAACTAGCATGACTTACCTTACCTTACCTTACCTATCATGGTCCACTCGTTTTTTCTGTGATTTCAAATACATGTGTTAATGTTGTGGGGTGAAGTGTGTGAATCTGATTGACACTGATACAGTGACATGTGTCTGTCCATGTAGGTGTAGGTGAACCACCTCAGACTGAATTCAATTCAACTGCACATGACATGCATTTGTGTTTCTATTCCTGTTCATATTTCACATATCACTCTTGCATAAAAAAATCGTGTTTTTATTTTTCCCCACACTTTGTTATTAAAAAAAAAAGAAGGAAGTAGAATTGTCGGTGAAGTTTGGGATGGAGTATGTGTTCCATAGGCATAGTCGCATAGATGTTGAGGAAGAATTAATGTCTTCCATCTTAATAATCTGTACTGTGGTGCCATAAGTGGACCTCTGCACCTACCCATCTCTTACAGTCATTTATTTCTTTGCTTTTTTTCTTCATGAGCAGTCTGCTTCACTTATTAAAACTCACAAGACAACAAGAGCTGTTATTTTATGCAGACTGATGCCTACATTCAATTTGGTATAGAGCTACCTATACAAACTAACTGCCTGACCTTTTAGGGGGGGTGGTTGGGGGGTTAAATTTGAGATTGAGTTAGAGTCTATATAGTTAAATAAGGGCTCTGTGCACTCTCGTTCCTTAAGATAGGTCGGGAGTTCGAATCCCCTCTCGAATGGAAAAAACAATCTGACCAGCACTTTGCCTCTTAATTGGGCCGGCCCGGTGCAAACGGGGATTAGGCTGAGTATGGTACGGGCTTAAAGGTGCCCCTACAGTTATGGCCTGCTTAGGATACCTCGTGGTCTGACCAAAAACTAAGGACTTTGCATAGGGATTACAACGGGTCAGGTAATATCGGCTACTCAACCCTCCTAAATCCCTGGTTCGAGTACTTGATGGATTCAGATAAGTAATTAATACCCGCCATGGCTTCGGGTAAGTTCTGTACCCAATACTGTGTGTGTAATGTGTATATATGTAAATGTATGTATGTATGTTTGTAACATTTGGCATTCGTACTTGTGAGATACATGATTTTATACTTGTATTAACTTTTCACTTACTAACTACTCCAAGTTAGTAGGTTGATTTTCTACTTATTTGATTATTTTCTGGGATGAATTTTTCTCTTGAAGTTTATCTATCATTGGCCCGCTAGAGCGCGGGCCATTATTATGAAGATTTACTATTAGAGCTTTTGCTTTACTGATATTCCAATTTTCAAATTGAGTCCTCTTATGCTATAATTTGTATACACAGTACTGAACAGTGATTTTATCTCTTTGGTAAGACTGAGTAGTGAGTACTAACCTGAGACAAGCCCATACCCATCATCATCATCATCACCCTCACATTCACCACTCATCTTAGTTTCTTAACACGCGTGGCTTCAAAATGATTGCAGAAAACAGTAGGCTATACTTCACAGCTAATTATTTCTCTTGTTTTGACCTTCATGTTTTTCAGAGTTTTACTGAAGTTGAGGCATGCAGATGTTCAAATAAAATTTTGACAGTTTTTCCTTTTTGGGTGGAGAGGAAAGCCATAGTCACTATTCGGGTAAGGGTAAATTCTATTCTTACGTAATAACCTATAAACAACACAAGGTCAATCGTACTAAGGGAGTAATTCTCAACCAAGTTGGTTAACTTAGTAGTTACTAGGTTCCAAGTTCAACTTCCTGTAGAAGTTGTCTATTAGTCTTCTTGGTTTGAGCTGGTGAACTATGGACTACTTAGGCTGATTTATCTCATTGTGGTCCTTTTCTGGTCAGTCATAATGTGAGCTTCACTTAGAGCACACTTTTGGGTAGCGGGTGTGAGTTTTTCGTAAAGAAAAAAGTAAATTTTACTAAAATGACTCTTTTTGATGAGTTTGACTAAGTAGGTGTTATCAAGAATTAAACTTGTGACCTTCAAATATGTACCAACTCATCCACCTCTTTTGTGGAAAATTTTGACAATTTTTTTGTTTTGTTTTGTTGTGATGAGGGAATCTCGCAATCACAACTCAGGTAATCTTCGTTCAAACCACAAAAAAAAAAAAAAAGTAAATCGCACTATGAAGACTGAGTTTAACTAAGAGGTAATTTTGTGAAAAATCATGTCATACCCAGGGGCAAATTTTGACAGTTTTAGTATACAAGTCAACATCTGCCAGGCTAGATTTTCTTTGTGGAAATTGGGCACAAGAGAGAGAGAGAGAGGAAAAGGAAAAGAAATCTGTTTGTATTTGTTTGTTTGTTAAAAGGGTTTGACGGGGAATATGAGAAGTACAGTACAGTGGGGGGAGGGGTGAGAAAGATATGTTCAGCTTTTTTGGTGTTGCAGATTTGGCATTATTGTTTCACTGCACATACAAACAGGGAATAAACGCAGAAGAAGAAGGTGGTGG